GCCCATCCACCGCCCATCCACCGTCCCTGCGTCCCAGCCCGGCCTGGCCCAGGCACCCTCAGCGTGAGGCCTGGCACCCCCACCCCTGACCTCGCCCACCCACCGTCTGTCCGGTTCCAGCCACACCTCCACCTCCCGGATGAGCAGAGGGAGCAGGGGCCAGGCCAGGGTCACATCTGGTGCACATCGCCATGGCACCCCGAGACCCAGCGAGAAAGCCTGGCATCAGACGGGCTCGGTGACCGTCCCTGGCCCTGCCATTTGCTGCCTGGGAGGGAAGGGGGAGTTGAGGGGGGGCTTTCCTGTCCTCTCTGAGCCTGCTTCCTTATCTGAGAAATGGGGACCACAATGGGATTTCCCAGGGGGGACGTGTCCTGATAACACTGAGTTCAGAGAGCTCGAGGCCACTATTGAGCTTGGGGTGCAGCCCCTCTTCGGCTCCTGCCTTTAACCCCCATGCAGGCCCCGAAGGCAGGGGCCCCCAGGATGGGGATGGGGGGGGTCCCCGTTAGCTCTCGGAGCCCTTAGAACTGGAGGCCTTCCTCAACCCCCACCTCCTGTTGCAGATAAAGAACGTGGAGCTGCCCTGGCCCGTGTGGCTCGGTTGGTTGGGCATCACCGGGGCACCGAAGTGTTGCTGTTCAGTTCCCTGCCAGGGCCCATGATGCATAAATGAGTGAAGCAACATTGATCTTCCTCTCTCTCTAAAGTTAATAAATATAAATTTTAAGAAATAGAAGCAAAGAGGAGCTCAGAGAGGACAAATGACTTGCCCAGGCTCCCCCGGGCTGGACTGAAGGACCCAGCTGGAAGCAAGAAAGCCTCCCTGGCCTGCAGTCCGGCTGCCTGTCCTTGAATGTCCCCAGGGCTCCCTCCATGGAAGCTGGGAGGTGAGGCTGGGTGTCCTCAGAGCCACTGTGTCCCCCAAGTCCGAGCTGCCTCAGCCTGAAGGCTGATAGGAGTCGTCTTCCTGGCAGGCCTTGAGCCAGGAAATTGCTCTGGGCAAGGAGCCAGGCCCGGGCTGGGAACCCCAGCTGCTTGTCTGAGCAGAGCCACTTTCTGGACGGCAAGGGGCCTCATCCCGCACCCCAGGCCAGTCCCCCTGTCAAACAGATCAGCCTCACCCCACACAGAGTTTCTGCCAGTCTCAAGCTCAACAGTCTGTCGGACGCCATCTCCAAGGGGGCCAGCGAGAACCACATCCTGGGCTTTTCTAAGAAAAAATCCAGAGATGCTGGGAGCCAGAGCTGTGGCGGTAGCATCCCCTTGGCCCCGTCTTGACCCCAGACAAAAGGGCCTGTCGCCTTCCCAGCTGACCCTGTGGCACTGGGAAGAGCAGGCTCAGGACGAGAACTGCTTGCGATGGGGAGTGGGGAGGATGCTGACACTGTGTCTAAGCCATCTGTGTCCACTCCACTCACATCCCCACTGGCGCACCACACTCAGGAGGGTAGCAGGTGCTAAATAAGGGGGGACTGGGCAAAGGAGAGGGGGAGAGGGAGGGAAGTCAGGCAGTCATTCTCCAATCGGTGCCTGTCCCTTTCATACCATTACCATGGCCGCCGCCTCCTCCTCCTCCTCTTCCCTCCTCCCCCTCCCCTCCTCCTTCTCCTCCAAGGATCCAGGCTTGCTGATGGGCAGATGGACAAATGGACTGATGGCCTCCCCTGCCTGGCTAAAATTTCACTCCGTGGAGTGTGGAGGGGCCTGCGCCCTTCCTGGAGGCCAGCCCAGGCCTTTAAGGGGGGTGGGCACAGGCTCCAGTGGGTCCCCTCAGCCACTCAGACATATTTGCTTGGGGTACACACATATGCTGCTGTTATGGCCTCAGTTCTGACCCTGACACTCAGAAAACAGATTGGCAAGGCCCTAGCCGGTTTGGCTCAGTGGATAGAGCATCGGCCTGTGGACTGAAGGGTCCTGGGTTCGATTCTGTTCAAGGGCACGTATCCTGGTTGCAGGCTCCATCTCAGTCCTGGTTGAGGTGTGCGTGGGAGGCAAACAATCAATGTGTGTCTCTCTCTCTGTCTCTCCCCCTCCCCTCCACTCTCTCTTAAAATCAAAGGAAAATATCCTCAGGTGAGGATTAACAAAAAACCACAGCAGACCGGTAAGGAGGACTGTCTCACCTGGGATGTTACCACATCCAAAGAATGCCCAAAAGAAAAAGAAATAAAAGCAATAACTTTTCTCTCCCCAAATTAATTTTCTTTTCAAAAAAAATTTAATATATTTTTAAATTTTTGTTGTTGTTAATCCTCACCCAAGGATATATTTTTCTTGATTTTTAGAGAGCGTGGAAGGGAGAGGTAGAGACACAGAGAGAGAAACATCGATGTGAGAGAGACACATCGATTGGTTGCCTCCCACACCCACCCTGATTGAGCCGCAACTTAATTGTCTGCCTTTGACCGGAATGGAACCCGAGACCCTTCAGTCTGCAGGCTGACGCTATAACCACTGAGCAACCCAGCTGGGGACACATTAAAGTTTTTGCTACTAAGTCCCAAGAGTCACTGGTGAGGTCAATGTCTCTTTTCACTGGTTCTCAGATAGACCTTTCTGTCTGAGGCCTGTGCTTTCTGCTCCCGGCCCCAGCCTCCCAAGGACAGACACCTGTGCTATTCTAGGCATGGGGAACGGAGGTGGCAGGGCAGGGGTTGGAGTTTATAGGGACACGGTTCCTTCGCCATCAGTAGGTGTTTTAAAATCAGCCCTGGGAGGCAGGCACTCGAATCCTCATTTTACAGACAAGGAAACTGAGGCTCGCAAGTTGAGTGCCTTGCCCAAGATCATGCAGCAAGTAGCTCCCATGTCTGCTGGTCGCCAGGAAGGAGGCTCCCCAAAGTCTGAGAGCTTGGCCCAGAGCCCACCCCAGACTCCAGCACTTGGGTGTCTCCAGACCAGCCTTATAAGCCCAAAGGCCGGGTGTCCAGCTTGGGCACCGGCCAGGCCTTGTAGGGAGACAAGGCTGTGCTGCCAAGCACTCGGCCCCAGGACAGCCTCCCCTGCCTGGCTAAATTTAGCGGCCCTGCGGAGCGTGGACGGGGCCGTGTGCCCATCCTGGAGGCCGGCCCGGGCCTTCAGGGGGTCAGCACAGGCTCCAATGGGTCTCCTTAGCCTTTGATAGTTCCACGGCTGCAGGGGCCACACCTCTGCCCGCAGAGTTCAGTCCAACCCCCCACCCCACCTGGGAGCCACCCAATGCCACAGCCCCTCAGGTGCCGGCCGGAGCAGGGCCCTGAGCCGGCCTAACAGAGACTGCCAAGGGGCGGTGGGGGAGTGGGCAGCTGTGGTGTGGCTGCAGCGGGGGTCCCCAAGGGTGACTTCTCCCCATTGCTCAGACCTTGTACTGCTTCTCTGGCTTCCTTTATGCTCCACTATGATCAGGACTGGCTGAAGCCTCTCCCCCTAAGTATCTGAGGCATCACCCCCCCCCGCACCCCACCCCACCCCGTAATGCTCCTCCATCTTGGGCTATTTCCTCTTGGTCCCCAGCCTCTTCTTGCCCCTGGATGTGGGGTTCCTCACTGCCCCTCAAACACTGAGCTCCCTTGGGAGGTGGTGGCCTCCCCATTTACCGAGGATGCCAACTCCCCTGCACCCACATGGCAGCTGCGTGCCTCCCCCACCTCCTCTGGCTCCTCTTGTTTTTTCTTCCAAATCAAACTACATCGAGGGCTACTTCACATGGGATTTAAAAGTGCACATTTCAGGCTCAGGCCCATGAGTTTTGACAAATGCATGTGTCCCCCCACCCGTCTCCCTAGATGTTCCCTCTGCCCCGCCAGCCCCTCTCCAGCCTCAGCCCCAGCGATCTGCTTGCTCGCTACAGACGCGCTCTGCCTGTTCTGGGACCTCATGAGGTGGGCACAGGATCCGCTCTCTGGGTGTCTGGCTTCTCTTACTCAGCACCAGGGTTTTCAGCGCCATCCGTGCCGCTGCATATATGGGCATGTTCCTTTTTATTGCTGCATATCCCATGGTTCGGACACACTGCTGTCTGTCTGTCCTTCCCCTGCTGATGGACATCTGGGCTGTTTCCGGTTTGGGGCTACGATGAATACAGCTGCTAGGTCACCTGCATTTGGGTCTTGTATGGGCATCGGTCTTCGTTTTCTGTTTTTGTCCCTTCATTTCTCCCAGTGCAGTCCCAACTGGGGTCCCTCCTACCCTGTGAGGGGTGCAGCGTGGGACATGGGGAGCACCAAGTCCTGGTGGCTGAAGGGGGTAAGGGGAGGCCATGAGCGTTTTGGCAGCTGCACCTCTGAGCCCGCGGGAAGCGTGCCGGGCTTGCCCTGGAATTCCCTCCTGC